CCTTAGAGCCCCATCCTTCTTGGCCTTGGGAGGGGGGCCCTGCCCCCGCGCCACACAGACCACCTGGCCCTGGGGCACACACAGTGCATGGCCTTGGGCCTGCCATGTGCTGTGGGCCTTGGCTTCTGCTTTGCTAAGGAGACAGGTGGCGGCCAGCTTCCGGGGTGTCTGTGACGACTCCTTAAAGGCCCAGGAGCCCACCCAGGAGGTGCCATCCGCGCACGCTCTGACCCTGGTGGGCCCCGAGTTCTGCGTCACTTCCCAGGACATGCAGGGGCCGAGTGACAGAACGGAACCCTGGCAGTGTTCAGAGAAACGCGGGGTCCGAGCAGGGCTCTGCCTTCCTGCCTGGTACCCCTGCTCTGCCCTCACTGAGGGCACAGTTGTCCCCTGTCCCGACCCCTGCCACCCGCCCGCCCGCCCTGGGCACAGGGCTTATTGCAGAGTCCTCCCTGGGCCGGGAAGCCCCAGCTGCGTCCCCACGTTCTGGTCCACGTGTCTCAGGCACATCTGTGTGCCCCCCACACTGTCACCCCCAATGCCAGGGGCCTCAGCAGCCCGGGCACTTAGTCAACATTCCTCCCCAGCGACCAGGAAATGAGGGGGCGCCCTGGCTGCTGCCCCCAGGCCCCAACAGTGGCCTCCTTGCCTGGCCCATCAAACCCAAGCCCACGAGTGACCAATGTCACTGAGTCAGGCCTGTCCCCAGTGGACAGTGCAGGCTGGCAGGTCCCCTCATATCCCCAGCAGCTGACAAGGGCTGGGCACGGGGAGAGATCAGTCAGGACGCCCAGGCCGCGGGACCTGCTTGCTTCCTGGCGGTGGCGGCTGCGGCTGAGATTTCTGGCCGAGGAGGCTGGTTACACAGCGACGTGGCCGCGGCGATGATCAGGTTTCCACTTGGATGGGCCCCAGGCCCCACGGCCAGAGGAGTGGCACCAGCTGACAGGTGCCCCACGTGGAGCCCCGTGTGTGCCCGCGGCCAGGCAGGGTGCTGGGGAGCACGCCTCTGCTAGTGCCCGCTGGCCACTCTGAGCCTCAGTTTGCCCGTCTGGAACATGGGCTGCGAACAGTGACCACTGAGGCCGGAGGACTCAGGGGGCCCCTCCGAGATGCGCTGTGTCGCCTTGGCTCCGGACTCCTAGATCCAGCACGTTCCCCTAACGGTGTGCTAGTAACTGCAGGGCGGAGTCCCCCCCCCCGCCCCACTGGCCTCAGTTTGCTTGTCTGAGAAACGGGGAGATTCCAGCTGAGCTGGCAGTGAGCTTTCTGGCCACAACAGCCTCAGGTACTCCGCCTCGCCTTGTCCTGTCCTCTCAGGGATCCGGAGGCCAGGCTGCGCCCCGTGTGGCTGGTGACCTGTGAGTCAGCCGCCCTGTCCCAGCCCCGCCCGCCTGCACTTTCCCAATACCGCCCTCCCCCACTGGTTCCCCTTTCACTTCCTCGGTCCTCCCCTGCCCCTGGGACCTCCCCCCCAGCCCCCAGGTGGGCTCTGAGCCCCTGGGCCAGGCAGGGCTGAGGCCACCCAGCTAGAAAGCTGTTGAGTCCCTGACACTGACCATGTTGTCCCTGGGTCCGTGTCAGTGGCTGCTCCCAGGCCCCCTTTCTCACAGCCCTGGGGCACAGGCCGGCGCAGGGTCCGTGTGGCAGGGCCTCCGCTGGGGGGTCCCGCAGGTGTGCCTGCTGACACCCCGCTGTCAGGGCCAGGAGTGTTCAGAACCTCAGGCTGACCTTGAAGTGTCCCCCAGCTTTGAATAGTATGTTAGGAATCATGGGGAGGCTGATTTTCTCTGTCTCTCTTTGATTCTAAAGTGAGAGGCAGTGGGGGGGGGGGGGGGGGGGGGGTTACAGGTCTCCCGCCTCACACGCACGCGGGGGCGGCGGGCTTCCCTTATCCGCTGCTGGGCACAGCGCCTCTCGGTGTAGTTTTAGCTGCACTTACCGGCTGGCCTGTGATGCTGAGCGTCTTTTCATCTTTAGAGAGGTTTGCAGATCTGGCTGGCCTCTTGTTTAAAGCACCGGATCAAGACTTTTGCTCACCCCTCCCTGGCCTGCTTGCCCACGTTGGGATCGCAACCCAGGCCGGAGAGGAAGTTGAGGCATCAGGGGCTTCATGCCCACGTCTGGCCCATGGTCACCAGCATAGGGCCCCCTGTACTTGCTCCGGGCGAGCCCGGTCTGAGCAGTTCTGTTCACTCTCCCGTCCCCTCCCTACAGCTCTGGACCTGGGTGAGCCACTGCCCCGGGCCACCAACCCACAATCCGCTGGGCTGCCTCAGCAGGGAGATGACAGCGGGCACCCTAACCTTCCATCTGCTTCTGCGTCCGCTGCTGCCCACTGCGTGCTGGGACCACGA